CATAGTTGGGTTTAAAAGATGGATGGTAAGCTGTTACCCAGATAGAGCAGTGTTAGTTACAGTTAGAACTGTCATCAGACATAATTGACAAACTAAGCAATTGTTTCAATTGTAAAAGACACTTGATGTAATTTCATTACGAAAATATCAATAAAGATTTGCATCGTTGCCCGTTCATCTCAAAAAAAAAAAAAAAAACAAGTTTAAAAACTATTAAGATTTTTTATACTCAAGCTATTTTATTTAAAATATCTAAAGTATAATACAAGCTTTTAAAATAATATTTATAGAATCCAAATATAAAAGTTCAAAAAAAAAAACTCTCTTCTGATTATGTTTATTTTGCTTAAAATTTTTATATATAATAATTTCAATTAAAGAAAAATGTTTTATACTCTTTATCATAAGTAAGCTTTAGCTCAGGAACCCAAGAATACTAAAAACAACTAATGCAATGGAATGAAATCTTTAATTAAAGTTTACTTAAGTTTGAAAGTCTTGTTTATCCTTCAGTTATATAAAAAAAGATCTATAGCAATATATTTTTGTTTTTTGATTTTTTTACAATTCAAACTCCTTTATTATTATAAAAATCATCCTTATCAATATCATCACAATTATTAAACTTATAAACACTTTTTAAAAAATATATTCAAACAAATTATAGAATCTAATATTTGTTTCAATACAATCTTTATACACTTTTTTATCCTAGTATTACTTATTATACTACTCAAAAAAATTCACATTTTTTTTCAATCTCAAAAATTGAAATCAGTTTATTCTTTCAATTGATCAATGTTTAACAACCATCCAATCAAAATTTATTATATCAATTAACCAAAACAATAAAACTGGTTTAAACTAGTTTATTAATCCAATAACAATAACTATAACTATAACAATAAACAACTTCAAGTATATTTTATTATTCATAATAATAAAAGCCATATTAACAAGTTACAAAGAATTAAAAAGCTAAAACTAAGGCTCTAAAAAGTATTGAACCAGTACCGAAGTGATATCGAAATGGTACCGATCTATAGTAAATTTAAATATTGAACTGATATTGAAGTGGTATTGAAGTGGTATTATTAGGAGCCCTAACTAAAACAATAAGTCCAACCAGGAATTTTCTTGAGGATATAATTTTTAATTTTTATAGATTTTATAATTTATTTAACTTAATGTTCTAGTTTTAGTTAGTTTTATTTCTTTTTTTAAATTTTTTAAATATAAAAACTTTTTTTTTGAATAGATAGGTATAGCCATTATTCAGTTTATGTTTAATATTAATATTGTTTAAATTTCTTTTCAATATTAATTAAATATAATATATGTAGACAAGTTAGTATTTAACTTATTGCAAGTTGTATATAAGAGATATTGTTTTTTTTTTTAATATAAACAAGTATTAAATATATAATATTTATTAAATTTTAATTTATGATTATTATATTAAGAATCTTATATCACTTATTTGTGGAAGTTAATTTTAGCCTATCACATTTTTATAAGGTAACAAATATAGACTTTGAAAATTCATATAGAGAAAAAGAAAGGTAAATAATGGCTAGCTACTAGTTATATTATAAATCGGTATATATACTTACTAGGGAATAAGACATAAATAGTTTGATGTAATAAGGAGAGTTAAATTTTAAAAATATTGGACCTGGGAATCAGTTTGTTGTTATGGTACAATCTGTAGGTTTTATCTATATTAGAGACCTTGTTTTTAATATAGCATGATCATTTTGTACCGATAAGAAATATTGTTTTTTTTTGAAATATATATCATAATATACAATATATAAATAAATAAAAAAATAATATTTGTCTATTTAAATATAAATATATATATATGGGTAATTATTTTTGAAGGCATCAAAAATGCTAGATATGATTTTTTCAGTCCCTACTTTTAAACAATACACACACAATGTAAAACTTTAGGATCACAATTATAGTGACCGAAAAATCACTGTCCGCCTTCGAAAAGAATTACCCATATATATAATAATTATATTGAAAATTTAAAAATAAATAATAAAATATTAGCAAAACTCTTTTTATTGATCTCTTTACCAATTCAAAAAAAACAAATATTCTCAAAAATATTCTTTATTTTTGATAATAAAGTTTATATACTTTTTTTGAAAACTGATGTCTCTTCTACTTGTTTATCTTTTTTTCTTTTAATACTTTGTATATTTCAATAATAAAATAAATAAAACTTTACTTATTTGATTTTTAGCAAAAACATCTTATTGAAAAAAAGAAACTTATTAAAAAATACACTTTCACTATATTCCTGTTAGGTCTGGAACTTTAGAAAATAAATTACTAATAAATATATTTTTCAAGTTTTATAAAAATCTTGAATTTATTATAAGTAAATACTTGAGTTTAAGGTAAGTGGATAAGCTAGTAGAAAGTTTATCCAGATATATAATTTTTTTTTTATCAATCATATATAACTGTAATAATATTTTCAAATATATTAAATTTTTTTTAATTTTTTCTGAAAAATTTGTCTATTTCAGTTTAATCTTGAATTTTTTATTATATTAAAAACTCTGATTATTAATTGACTAAAATCTTAAACTAGTTGATAACAAGATATATACTTTCACATATTTTATATTATGCTATACTACAACTGATAATACAATTGGATATAGTGAAAAAATAAGATATCAAGATATCCTTTTGATAAAAAATAACTTAAAGTTTTTTTTTTCTTTTGTACTGGTTTTTTTTTTCTTCAAAATTAAAAAAAGTTTTTATTAAATTGATAATTGAATTAGATAGATTTATATTTTATCAGTATAAACTTTTACTTTACTTTTTTACTTTTTTCTTTTATTTTTTTAAAAAATAAAAATTTTTTATATCTTAGAATTATAGAAGTTAAGTTGAAGTGATAGAACTAGTTATAATATTTTAAAGAGATAAAAAATGTTTTTTTTAATTTAAACAATTTTTTATTTTCTTTAATTATATCTAAAGGCCATTGGCTGTTGACAAATATATTATATAACATTAATAAGTTTAATATTATAGTATATTATATAACATTTGTACTAAGGCATCTTTAATTCAAGAGTTTGAATCTAATAAATATAAGTTATATAGTTTGATTAGGAGTAAAAAAAATAAATAAATAACAATTCAAAAAAATTAATTTATAATAAAATAAAATAATTAATTAATTAAAATAAATAATTTTAATTAATTAATTAATATATTTATAATTTTTATTGATTTTTATAAATTTTCAAATTAAATTAAATTTGATTTATTTTAATAATATTTATTATTTTTTTTGATATTTATATATTTTTTAATTAAAAACTATTTAATTTTATAGTAATTAATTATATTATTGGTCTTGTATTATATAGTTAAAAATATATAGAAAGAATATTTTTTTTTATTTTTTTTTATTACTAATATAATTATAAATTTACAATCTTAATTAATTATTTTTTAGAAAATTGTTAATTTAAAGATTTTAAAAATAATTACTTATATATTTAGATATTGATATATTTTAAAAAAAAATTTTATAATTCATAAAAAATATTTATCAATATTTATCAATGCTTACAAATATACGATATATTTTTTAAAAAAATTTGATTTTTATTAATAAATTTTTTGATTTTATTTAATTTTTTTTTATATCCTATTAACAAAACTTCTATTTGAAAATTTTGAACTGTATAAAGTAATATTGGAACTAATTATTGCAATTATTTGCCTTGAAATGAATTGTGTATAATATATTACACATGGCATATGTATGTTAATAATAAGAGCATCGCTTATTGAATGTTTTAATAGCTACAGTATAATCTGGACAGGTCATGTGTTTTTTTTGGGATTGCAATTGCCCGATTTGTTAAAATAAAAAAACTGAAAAACTGTAAATTATTCGTCGATCTTTATGCTTTTAATTTCTTTTTTATGTCTGTACCACTAACCAAAACGATACCAATGAGAAATTTATCCTTTCAAGGTTATTCCCAAACCCGGAAGAGAATCAATTTGCATATAGCCTGATGAATTCGGTACGCGTTTACAATTTACCGTCAGATGAACTATAATTTTGTGCTGCAAGAAGTATTTAATGTACTTGTTGGACGAGATGCGATTGGAATGATCCAAACTATGTTGAATTTGGATCGTAATATCCGAATGTTTGATACCAACAAGTACTCATGGGTCTTCCATGTGCACATCATTCGGAACGAATAGGATGGATATCTAAAGAGATATTTTATCATCGGAAACACTCTTAGGGTAGGTATTTGAATTGACCAAATTTTTGAGCTTCCAAACTCATGTATTAATTGAGATAGATGCCTTATTTGTAAATTTTTCATCGCGTGATCTTTTTTAAAAAAGGAAAGAAATAAGGATAGTCGTTTCAAACTTTTTTTTAGTGGCACTTGTTTAAAAAAGCCAACTTCAAGTCCATGGTTGTGATAATTTGAAGACAACAACAACGTACATGGCGTGACAGCATCTCCCAAGATTTGCTAATAAACCAATCATACCGTGTAACCTAAAAAATAAAATCCAATAAGCGAACAATACGTTTTGCGTTTTATTTTGAAACTAAAATTAAATTAATTAAATAAAATAAAATATAAAATTTTTTTCTGGTGCTTCGCGAACATTTGAACCACTCGCGCGCTTATCCAAAACCTATGGAACTAATTCCTTAGAAAGGTACATCTATCGTTTGATAATTTTCGAACACTTAATGGTAAAAAAGTTTTACCGTCAATTATTCACGATACATGATCGTTATTTTTCACTGGTACAAACAATATACACTTGGATCCATTCCCTAATTGACAAATGTTAGGGGACCCACAATAATGACCGGATTGTATTCGTGAAATCGAAACTATGCAATATTTGGTTCTCGGGTCTCTCTTTATACACGTGATGTACGTTAAATACTATAAAGTATATACTTGAGATAAATGACCACTTATGTCATCAAGACTGATTCCTTTGAGGATTCGAACGATTCTTTATTCTCTTATGATGCAAGACGGCTAAAAGAAAAGAATGGTGATCCTTTACTTTTCTTTTATCATCCATGTGTCGATAATTTGTAATCAATGATTTCAGATGCGATAGTATGATCTAACTCTAATTATCTTGAATTTCTTTGATCATAATCGTCCATTCAACGTTGAAAATCTAGTTTGTGTCATTTACCTTAACAGGAAGTCACAGACTCTGGGTCCTTGGTTAAGTTAATGCAGGGTTTGCAAGGTCAAGCGATGTTCTAATCGTTGGGTGCAGCGGTGCTGTTAAACGGCTTGTCCATTGGCTAAGTACAGTACATCCTTTTAATATATTGGTTATTATATGATGTAATAGATGGCATAATAGAAAGAATGTGACAATTACCAATGGACAAGCCGTTGAACAACACTGAAACATCATACATTTATTGTTCATTCGAATAATTCTTTTTGTAGTTAACAAGGAGTCGCATTATTGTACATGAATTTCAAAAAAATTTGCGACAAATCATCATTCTTTCCACACGTATGGCTGTCAAAGAACTCGGTTATAATTTCATTCTCCCTCTCCCAAATTGCGAGATGCATACTTTGATTTTTTACAATAATGTCAAATTGGAATGGATAGACTTTCATAATGATCTGCTTGGTGCATAACGTCTCTCCATTTGCCAACGAAAAGGGTTTGCTGAATAACGGGAAGATGCTTGAATATGTTCAGATGAAAGAAGGCATTTCTGCAGAATGGCTTTTGATATCGTAAATTACGTAAAATATTATGAAATCCATTCTCTTTGTATGAAGGAGGTTTTTTACGTATTAATGTGTGATCAATAGGGTCAATTACGTAAGTAACGGTGAGCTGGATCGGAGTCGCAATATTATTAATTTTAATTGACCAATTCGGCGTTAGCACAGAAGATAAGGCTCAGGATTAAATATCGAGTAATAATTTGGAAAAAAAAAAAAAAAAAAAAAAATTTTTCTTGGATTTGTTATCTATTTTAAGCGATTACGTGCAAAAATGGAACTATTTGTACTTTGCTCGCGCTAATTAGATTGTGTGAACAAACAAAAGAAAAAGTTCACACAATATCCATTTGAGATTGCAAATTATGGATTTTGTTTACTCCGATGCTTGCTTAGATAACGTCTGAAATTTAAAAAAAAACTAACTATTATTATTAATTGATTTTAATATAAAAGAGCGTTCGCCCTGCCTTTGTCTTTCACATTCTGCCGTCAACAAAATCGTTTGTACCTTAATCACCATCATCCATTATTTCATACTGTTATCAATTTTGTCATCTTAATCTCTAAATCAAATAAGATTTAAATCCTATGTACACACATCCTTCGACGGATGTTATAACATCTAAACCACAAGATATAAATTTTATGATAACCAAGAACATTCTGGTAATGTGTGTTTTATATTTGATTCCGATTATACAACTAGTTAAAACCAACTAATTAAACATGACACGACAGTTCGATCCGTTATGGATTTTTCATTTATCATCCATAGGAAAGAGAGCTCGGACTCGAGCTCTATCTAGTACACAATCAAGATGGAATTTATTTGTGTATATGTCCAAATTCAAGTTAATATTTATTTTTCATGTCTTGTAATTCAGTGTACACACCAGATTACACTGGTTATTAATAAGAGCATTTCTTCGCATACTTTACAAATGTAATCTTGTGTTGATCAATTACCCTCTATGTACCTCATTTTTCGGTTGATGATTTTAATTAAAAGCACACTATTCGGAGACTAAAAAATGTGTACACAGAGGGTAAATGATTGACTTGAAATTTAAATTCAAACCGATTTACTTCGAAGTGATTCACATGTACTTTGCACATTACAAGATAATTTGTGTACGATTCATAAATTTGATAAAAACCAATTGATTGTAAAAAAAAAAAAAATAAAATCAGCCCTTTCATGGCTGCGTGATGAAATAATGACGCATGTTCATATAAATCAATCAGGTATAACGCAGGTATGCATAACAAAGAAAATTTCACTTGCATCAAAATTATTTACTTTACTATTAAATTGTTTTATAATATACTGTATTATTAATAAATAATTTATCTTAAAATAATAAAATTAATAATTAAAATTAAAATTAAGTTTCAAAAGAAGTATTAAAAAATAAATGAATTTTAAGTTGATATATATTAAAAAAAAAAATTATTTAATATCAATTTAATTATAAATCTTTAATTATAAATTATTATTATACAATATTTTATTATTTATTTAAATTAAATACTGTATTACTTATTCTTAAATAAAAATTATAAAATAATAAAATAATTTAATTAAATAATTTAAAATTTTTTAAATTAATTTTTTTTTTAAATTAAAAAATATAATTATAATACTTTTTTTTTTTCAAATAAATATTAAATGTAATTATAATATAGTATTTAAAACCATTTATATAAGGTTAATGTTATTTATATTATTATATATTTTATTTAAAATTCAAAAAAATAATTTATAAATTAATTATAAATTTTAATTATATAATATATATATATATATATACATTTATATTTATATTTAAACAAAAAAAAAAAAAAAAAAAAAAACTCTTTCCTGTTTATCCAGATTCGCCTAAAATCTACAGTAAACAGCCTGGAGTCCACCCATAGGCCCCTCCCACCATGGAAAAACGCAACAACAGCATCACCCGGAGCAAGGGTCCGCCCGTCTCCACCTACCAGTAGCACCAGGTATCCAAAACACAACAAAAACTGAAGCAAAAACAGCAGCCAACAACACCTGATACCAGCTGAAGCAAGGCGCCCAGCTGGACACTCACAATAGAGGAAGGCATAGACAGAACCTTTGACTGGGCGGATGACACCCGCATGGACACAGAAGAACCCCAATGGGCACCTATCCCGCTCACCTTCACCGAGTCAGACGAAGACCCAACGCCTATAGAGCCAGAGAATGAAGTGGAGAATGTCCTACCTATCAGTAGCCAACCATCCAAACCAGCCAGACAACCGTTTAGCCCACCTACAGACTGGCGCACCCAATATGGCTGTTTCCGCTACAAGACAGCTATCCAAGTGGATAACCTAACAGGAACCATGGAGGGTAAACTCAATACTATCAAAGAAGCAGTCTCTCACTTTAACTCCTATATAGGCACCCATGTGGCACAGCAACAGGGGGCCAAAATGATCGTTGCTTCATTTGCAAATCAAAAAGATGCACAGAAAGCATGCAAAGTCAAAATTCAACAGGAAAATGATCATCACATGGCCATGCTAGCCGATCTAGACCCAACAGAAGCCAAAAATAAATCAATCCACATCTGGAACATCCTTCTGAGCACCAATAAACAAAAAATCAAACAGAAACTTTTCCAATTTGAATAGATTAAAAATCTCAAAATGTATACTGCAGGTATGTGGCAAAGCGCAATTGCCGAATTTGAAGAACAAGAAGAGTATGACAAAGTTAACCAAAAATGGAATATCCCATTCCAAGATGAACTCCTTAGGATCTATCCATTCCTACGCACCAATGAAATCAAACAATTATAAGATAGGTACATTTTGAAACTTGCAAAACTCTCACCAAACACAACTGGATACGATCTTCGTGAGATTATCGACAAAACCAAAGTGGCATCCTGTCACATCCCACGCAACTGTAACTATACGAAAAAGAGATTCGCCATACTCAATTTTGCATCAGCAAAAGCAAAAGAACTAGCCAAAAGCAAATCAGTACAACTTGAAGAAACACCCCTCCAATAGTATGAAATGGAAGAAAAACTCTGTACAATATGTAGTGCAGCAGACCACCTAGCAGCACAATGCATAATCAAGGCAAAACGCCAGGAAAAACAACAAATACTTAAAGAGAAAGCAAAAAGATATAACTCCCTATACCAAAAATTCAAACCAGCAGGCACAACTAACATTAGGAGAATTATGTCAAATCAATCCAATAAATCTACCAACTCAGATCGCCAAAGAGCATGGGAACAATTTAACAAAGCCTCTAACAGATTTGCGAACAAGGGAATATTCACTTAAATAACCAAGCAATTCCCCAACAAAGGATCGAACCTCACAACTAACAATCCAGCAGCAATGATTAATCTCCAGTCATCATTGACAGAAGTCCTCAAAGCAGTTCAAACAATCAGTGCAGAGCTCAAAGAAATCAAAGAAACCATCAACGATCTCAACAGTAGAGTCAACAATCTCGAGAAATTCGCTTATTTCTATGTGGTAGATGACGAAGAGCAAATGGAAGCAGTGATAGAAGCAGGCAAAGAGTACCTGAACCAGAATCCACCCCATACAACCACACCAGAACCAAGAGACTTCAACTACCAACAGAAAAGACAGGCAACAAGCCCCGCAGTAGACATATTCAATATTAGAGAACAATAAACCAATCTCAATACACGCATGGCCAACATAGATAACACCTTCCAAAATGTAGTTGGCACCCTTAACCAACTCATTGACATTACAACAAACACATCCCAACATTCAGATTCATATGATGAACAATAGGATGGAGGAAAGAACCACTGATCTCTCCAACACAACATCTTCACCAAACATGACAGAAACAATAAACAACAATACTAATACCATACCCCAACAACAGACAACAACCACATGGAAAATACTAACACACAATATAAGAGGTATCAATGCCTTACCAAATGGCAAACATTCTTCACATACTGTGCTCAAAGAGACATCGACATAGCAGTACTCACTGAAACACAAATACAAGGCACAAATCACAAATTCTGGAAGCATTCAAATTATAACATCATCTGGAGTAACAATAACAAAGGTGCGGGCGTCACACTGATGATCAAGAAAGAAATAGGTAAATACATTGGTAAAACAAAGGAATTTTCTAGCAGAGAAATAAGTATCGACCTTCAATTTAAAGAAAAAAACCACATCAGCATCCTGGGAATCTATATACTAGCATCAGATGGTTCAGAAAAATGTCAAGTCAACAAATGGATAGAAGAAGAGATCATAGCAAAAACTGGAATACAATTATCTTAGGGGATTTCAACTCAACAATTAATCCCCAAATAGATCACAAATCAGCAACCGTCAAAAAACACATCTCACAGTTATCCAACTCAACAGCACTCTGTATACTTCAAAATCCAAACTACACAAATTACTATAGAACATTCAATCCAATTACCCCAGGTTTCACTTGGCAAAACTTCAGAGGCGCAACA